ACGGCAGACACCGCAGGCACAAGTTCCAGAGGTGGAAAAAACGACAAGTACAAGGGCAAGCCAATAAGAGGCAGGAGCAAGTGAAAAGAAAATTGCCCCGCGGAAAAATTGAAGGTAGCAAGAAAAAGAAGCCGTTCCACCGTCCAGAAAAGAGAGTTCACGAACACCCCCCAGAATGAAGAAGGGAGAAGGACGACGTATGGGAAGAGAACCAGGAGAAATGACGGCAACTATAACCCGGCTCTAAAACGGAAGATCGACTCATCCGACAGGACTCTCCGCAGCAAAAGTCGCCGAACTGCGGAAGGGCCATCAGCGGCGGAGGAAAAGTTACAAGGAAAATTTGAACGGCCAACAACGAGGTCCAAGCAGGAACACGACAGAAGTTTCCCGGTTCCGCCAAGACCAGCTGCCATCAAACGGCCAAGACCACAAGCAGAGGAGAAAAAGAAGGTATTCAAGGGTGGCCGAACTGGTGAAAAAAGGAAGCTTCCAGAGGAAAGCACTGAAGGGCGAGCCCGTACAAGAAGGAGGATAAATCACACAACTATCTGCAATACCTTTAAAGACTGGGCCCAGAAAAGGATGTCCGAATATCACAAAGATAAGTAAAATTTTATGTTACTTTGCAAACTTAAGTTAATCTTTCATTCTTACTGCAAGTGGCAGATTTCAAGAAGTTTTACCTCATGCGAGGTCTACCTTTATCGCCAAAAGGGCGAGAAATGAGTTGTTACCGATTTTCGTATTATGTTTTTCAATTACTCGCGCGTAAAACTAAAGTTGATGTATAATAGCGTTGTGTAAAGACTTAAATATTGTAAAAAGTTATTGTATAAATTTTATTTAAAACATTCTAGCAAGAAGAGAAGTTTTAGTCTGAAAGACTTTTTGAAATGTAGTATTTCAATGTAGAAAGAATTGGCACTTGCTTTGAAAAGAATAGAAGTTAACAATGTACTACTAATGTATGTTTTCAAATGTGTAAAATTAACGGCATGTTGATATGTTCTTATATACAATGTGAACTGTTATTTTAAATGTTAAGAAATACCGTGATATGGTAAAAGTGAATGTTAAAATTTTTTTATTCGTGTGACTGTAAAAAGACTAAATCATGGCGAATATGTGTTAAAGGTTGAATGATGTAGTTAGGCTCTCTGACGCTACACTTTAGAGTTAGCCACTTTTAGAATAGTACCTCAGGGTTTAGAGTTGAAATTAGGGTGTGTTAAGAGGTCTTGTTATGTTGAATTTTAACACGTTAGTGTTTTGATTGTAGGAGGAAGTGTGGAACACGTAGACAGAAACACATTCGTGTTTGGTGTTCTTTTACAACACATGTCAGAGAGCACGGGGAGAGATAATTAAAATAGTCATGAATGAAATAAGAATGTTAAAGAAGTATAATTGTATATGTTACTTGCCATTTCATTGTGTAACATTTCATTAAACTAGTTTTCCTTCCAGATCTCTGGAAGGAACCAGAATTGAATAAAAGCTCCTGTTTAGATGCAGTACAGATGAAAAAAATTGTTGTATATCCTGGGAGCTGCTATTGTAAAAAAAAATTTCTTTCTTTTAAATTTCTAGTTTCTAGCGAAAAATATTTGTAAAAGATTGGCCTCGCGTTAGATTCTAGAGCTAAAAGTTTTCAACAAGGTCGTTTTAGACCTCAGTTTCAAACTAATTAACTCTGGCGGGAAGTATGTAAGGATCTTAAGTTTTACTAACGTTTATTTTATTTTAAATCTTTACTATCACTTCTTATTTTCTACTTCCGGCCAGAATTATAAGCGTGAAGGTTTTATGCAAAGTTTGTCTGGCGAACGCCAAGTATTTAAGTTGTGGCCTTTTTGCCAAGCGAGAGAGAGGAAGCAGTGAGTTCGAAGCAGGCCGCTTACCTTAGAAGTTACGCAGTTGCTTGTTGCCTTCCAGGCCAGAGGTTTTAATCCTCTTGATAAATTTTAAAACGTATTGTAGTGTTCACAGTTCTCTGTACTACATACGCCTTCCTGTTAATATAAGGCCAATCTTCCACGTTTATTATTCTAAAGTTAAATTAGAGTTTAGTTTTATTTTTATACTTTTACGTTAGACCCCGAGTAGCGGGTCGGTGTATTCCGAAGTACGGAAGTTATTGTATATAGAGAAAAATAAAGGGTTTTGTATACCCTTCGTCTGTATCCTGTCTACTTAACCACAATTAGTGAACATAGCTTTAGTAAGCTCTCTGTTCCGAGTTAGGTCCTTGTATGTTCCCGAAGAAGGTAAGAAGGAACATTGACCCTGATAGTGTAACTATAACTTACTGTCCGTTCTCTGTATAACTGTAATTGTATCCGGCCTACGATATTCTTTTTTTAAAAAAAAAAAAAAAAAAAAAAAAAAAAAAAAAAAAAAAAAGAAAAAAAAAAAAAAAAAAAACAAAAAAAAAAAAAAAAAAAAAATCGAAGGTAGTGAAAATTTCGCGAGAGAGGTTGCAAAACTATATGAAACCGCAGAAAGCAACAGTTTCAGTTAAATCAGAGTACAGACAGATCCGAGTGCAGAATACCGAGAGATAACCGTGTGAGCTTTCGCTTTTAATATGACATATTTCCCCTCCTTTTTTTGAATAAATTTCATCATTAAGGTTTTATCGGGTCTCTGTACGGTCATTCCATTATGAGCTCGTAAGCACGTAGCAATATGATTTACATTATTCAGACCTGAGCTATAATTAAGTCTAAAAATATTTCACCAGAGTCTGAATTTTGTCGGAAGGGACCACAAGTTTCCTGCTTCAAACCTGAAATTGAGCAACTTCAAAGTGTAAATTCAAATCAGAGTACAGACAGATCCGAGTGCAGAATACCGAGAGATAACCGTGTGAGCTTTCGCTTTTAATATGACATATTTCCCCTCCTTTTTTTTGAATAAATTTCATCATTAAGGTTTTATCGGGTCTCTGTACGGTCATTCCATTATGAGCTCGTAAGCACGTAGCAATATGATTTACATTATTCAGATCTGAGCTATAATTAAGTCTAAACATATTTCACCAGAGCCTGAATTTTGTCGGAAGCGACCACAAGTTTCCTGCTTCAAACCTGAAATTGAGCAACTTCAAAGAGTAAATTCAAATTCTTGCAGTTATTTCCAATGAATGAAGGAAAATTACGGCACACTAGATAACGCTTCAAACTTATAAGAGCATTTATAAAGAAATATGATATACTTCAGCAATGAACTTAGATAATAATGCAGCATATTTTGTTAAAAATGAATAATACATACTTGACGTATAACACAAGAGAAACGCTGTTATAGTATTTACAGAATTTAATCCTTTCAGCCGTAATTGGTTTCGTAATAATTTTTACTTCCTTGTGCGAAGTAAAGAAATCCTTGTAGTCACGAAAAATTCCGAATATCATATTTCCAAAAAATATCAATTTTGACAGGTCTCGAATGAAATTTAACGATGTTTTTGCGTGACATCTGCACGTAAGGACAGAATAAAGGATTCTTTGACCCAAGCGGATTATAAAATCGGTTTAAAATGCATTCAAAAGAGATTTTTTCCATGACGTCTGTATGTACGTATATATATATATATATATATATATATATATATATATCTATATATATTATATATATATATATATATAATATATATAAGGATAGGGAAAAAAAGCTAAAGCTGTAAAGAACATTTGAATAATCTTATTTCAGATATTATATGTTAAACAAAGTTAAAACAACTAAAACTACGTTAAAGCAATAAATTATACGCGAAAAAAATCTACATACATATTAAACAAGAAAAACTATATAACAATATATATATAGTGAATGAACTAAAATTAATTGAAATCGAAAACAAGTTTTTCTAATACTTGCGCAATGGCTGCAAAGTAAGATAATAATAATAATTTATTTACTGAAGAATCAGAGAAAGGAGATAATATAATCAATATTTCTTTAGTAAATAAATTATATACATGTATATCGCATAACTCAAATGAGTATTCTCAGTACTTTTAAATTTTGTATATAGGATTGCTATAACATGCAGTCGTGCACGTCTCTTTTCGGTCGCAATCAATCGGTCGCAAAAGTGTATATCAACATATAGGTATATATATTTATATATACCCACTTTGTTACTCGACTCGGTGAGCTCAGTGTTTTTATTCATATATGTTGGTAAACTGCGCATTTTTTGCTTTAAAAATGATTGAATTATGTTAATCTTATATTCCGGTTAAGGGTTTTATGCCTTTAGTTGGTCTGCATGCAATAGTTGTAGAATTACCAAGAACTTAAAAGTTAAGTGCGGCTATGTCTAATGTTTGTTTACCATAGTAGCCATATTTGTTTACATTTGAAACTTAGCAGAAAACTGATTTAAGTCAGTTTCTGCACCTATAGTGTCTTTTTGCCGAGTGGGACCGAAATTAAACCATCGGTTTTGTGCACCGAAAAATCTGCCTTCTTGCTTGCTTGACGAACTATTTGTTTTTAAGTAGAAACTCTAGTTTTAATAATTTTTTTTTAAATTGTTTTAAAACTTTATTTGTTGTTTTACATTTTTCTATATTTTCAATTTTTAATAAAGACATTTTGAGGTTTTATATGTTTTTGCCTCGCCGCGAAGTGAGAACTTAATTAATGGAATAAGAAGTATATCTCCAATGAAATTCAAGAAAATAAGTTTAAATGAAATGCAGCAGAAAATGCATGTAATTTAAAATTGCGTACAAGGAAGTCATGTGGTATCAGATTTTTTTAAACTCATTCTTGAGCGATTTTTTGAAGTTTTATTAACTCTTAAATTACTTCATCTGTATTTAAAGGTAAACATTTTACGAAGTCTGCTTTAAATAAGCTTTAAATAAATGCTTGGATTTCAGGAATGGCAACAAAAAATGGACCTCTTAGGGAAAATAGCCATTTTAATGTAAACAGAGAATTTAGTGTACAAACCTGTTCTATGAGACAAAATTTATACTTACATAAGACGTTCAGGGTCCAGCTGTCTTGTAAGGCACTTTCTGGAAGTTCCGGATTTTGAGCTTCACACGTCAACTTTTTACCGTTGTCTTCCCAAGCGGCGACAAAGCTGATTGTACTTACGGATATGCTTCCGAAGGTGTTCTGGATGGCAAGATGGTCTACCCTTTCTGAGCCTTTGGTCCACGATATTCTGGCTGGTGGACGAGAACCTTCACTCTGGCAATTGACTTCAATCCTTTGTCCTGCCTTCAGGACAGTTGGCACAGTGGTGATCTGGACGCTCTGTGGTTCCACTCGTTGAATAGAAAGAAAATTAAAATGCAATTGATAGTTCAAACACGGAATCTACAAGTAATGATTACGTCAAATACTATGAAGTGTCAGAGTTCGCAAGTAATTTCGTGAATAAGATAAGTGTGAACAATATTCATGCAATCTAAGAAATGCAAATATTTTTTTCTAACGGAAATCAGAAAAATAGTCATTAGTAAATTTATTTTGGTTAGAAAAATTATTTGTTCTATTTCAACAAATTTGGTACAACCAATGCCAAACGGAATATCCTCGCTGGTAACCTTTTAAGTCTTATTTTCAAAATAAGTCGCACTTCCTATCAGATTGATTGTTTCTTTCAATATCGGCATAGAGTTACACATAGAAATTTTACCAGATAATTCAATTTTATGCCCTAAGGCCATTCGCGGGCAATTATGATGCAATCACACCGTACACCCGAAGGCGAAAATATAGAAAAGGCAAAGTCAAGGGTTAAATTCATCAATTATAATGAGAATGCACTAGCGAAGTAAAGCACTGCGGTTTTACATAATTTGAGTAAGCTATTCGTAAGAAATGAAATAATTCTTGCATTTAAAACTTGCATTCCAGATTAAAATTTAACTTGAAATTAATTACTGAGGGAATTAGATTTTTGTAGCGTGAGATGAAATCACTTGGGGTCACGTGATACGAACCGGCGAATTAGAATGTTTTACGATGAAAGCATAGTAAATTCTTAAATTGTCTTTTTAAAAATTTATTGTCTTTATTTATTAGCTTTTTTACAAAATTTTAAACTTCATTAAAAAATAAAATTAAAAATTAAAATTAAATTCTCTTGGAACTAACATTTGTCTACATTTTTTATGTGCATACTGTTGTCGCCTATAAAGTCCGCTTGGCGAGATTTGCGCCGGCGAAACGGAAAAGTACCAAATTTGTTTTCTTTAATTATATTAATTTTGTGTAACATAAATCATTGCGAATAAAAATAATTGCTTCTGAAGCATTTTTTGTTATGATTTATCATATATTTCTCTTTTTGTGGAATTGTGTATTATAAAACCTCTATTTATATCTATTTAAACTATTAGGAATTTATCCAGAAGCCTTCTTTTGAGAAAATGAGATCTTTCTTTGCAGAAAATAAGATAACTTAATTATCTATAATAAACGATTATGTCGTAAAATATCAAAAGAAAAGGAATTATCAAAGCCTTTTAATAGTGCGCTTTCATACTTGCATGTTCCTTGCAATTAATTTATCTCTGTTATTAGATAAGGAAAGGTGTATTTATGTATATATGCATGTATGCATGATTGCATGCATATTCCTCGCATTATGCGGAAAAGGGCGACGGCTAAAGCCGGCAAATTTCGAACACACGCTATCCTCCATCCAAAAATGTGCACCTCGAAGCACAAAATAGAATTTCGAAAATGTCTGTTATGTTTTATGCAAACTTAATTAAAATTTAATTAAGAAATGCAGTTATTTAACTGCAGTGTATTGTCATTCAGCAAAGCGTAAAGCAGTTGCCTTTCAAATTTCATCAACAAGCTCATCAATTTCAGAAAGGTGTGTTGTCTCTGTCTCAAATAATTTTTTTCTTTAAATCTTTCACACGTAAGTGTATTGTCATTCGACAAAGCGTAAGATAAAATTTTATTTCAAATTTAATCTCTCTGGCACTGATTAACAAACTAAACCATTTAAAAGCGATAAGCACCATTTTTAATTTTTATTATTATCATTATTTTATTAACTGAATCCGTGAAATTACATGAATGAGGCTCAATAAAATCATTATATTTATTTATACATTTATTTATTTATAATTAAAATTTCAGGTAGTTGACCGGGAAAACGGTTAGCTATTTCTAAAAAGTACTTTTGCTAATTATCTCTCCCTTAACTCAAAACATGGCCCACTAGCGTCGAGGGGTTAAGTCCCTGAACACTGGTAGTTCGGTCTGAGGTACGAATCCCGTGAACAGGCTGGCTGCATGGGCGTTTTCCTCATGTGTAACGTGTTAATACGAGCCAACTTCCCTTAGAAAATCCTCCACGAAAGCATACCTGCCTTCCATGTAGTGCCTTAAGGCGGAACACATGAATAATAATAATTAAAAACATTTTACGCATTAATTCAATACTTTTATCTATAATAAACATTTTAAATACACACACTTAACTTTCCCACTTATATTTAACACTGAAAAGACAACACATAAAATAAAAGTTGTTACAAGGGTTATTTAAAGTAAATCTAGTTTGTGAATATCGTTTGAAACTTCGCGTGCCCGTGAGAATATATGCTTGCGCGGGCTTTCGGCTGTTTAATATAAAATTTTAACAGTTAATACTACAAACAGTCACTTATTTCTGGTTTCGATATATATATATTTAAAGATATCTCTATCGCCCAGAAAGTATAGTGGTAAGGGGAGTCTACCACGGTACCGAAGGGCCCGGGTTTGAATCCCGGAGAAGACATGGAGGTTTGTATATGTATAGTGTCGGTGCGACATGGTGGCACTCTAAATATGCGGCGAGCCGAAAGTCCTCTCGTGTGGATTGGTGGAAGGGGAGACGGGTGGGAGTCCCCTGATCCCCCTGGAGTGTTCTCCCTCAAATTTGGGGGTGGAAAATCGCAGTCTAACCTCTCTTTGGAGTAGGCTCTGGCAACTAGATAACAGCAATGATATCTCTGGGAAGTTAGACCATTATGAGAAGAGATTCGTTTCATTTGATTAAGTGATCTTAGACTATCGAAGACAATTTTTTCCTAATGGGGGTTTCTAAAAACTAAGTTTTGCATACTTTTTGCTAAAGGGCTTAAACATTCTGTTGAGCTTTTAGAAGCAATCATTATGCAAGTTCCTATTCGTTATAGTATTTCAGTATTCGTTGTAGTATGACTGACTTTGTCAGATGTTCCTTTAAATTTGCTCATAGTTTGTTGCAACTTCATCTGAGAATTTTTTCTCTCTCTTTACTTTATCAAAGCAAACAAAGAACGGAAACAAATTATAAATTAAATAACACTAATTTATGCGAAAAGTGTGGGTGTTGGAGAGTGCTCTGTCCAGTAGTGCTGGAGATAGTAGATCAAATATGAAAAGTCTCTTAAATCGTACACCAGTGTACACAATTTATCGGGCTATATAGGATTTCTAGGAGCTTTTGCTACCGACTTTTATTTTATTCTCCTTTTTTAATCGGTTTTGATCCATTGCATGATCTATTGCATATATATTCAAAACCTTTCACACTATGAGCGTTTTTCAAGAGGTTAGAAATGTTAATTTACAAGTATCATTGATATACTTTATATACATTATGTATAAGCACATAATAGTCTTTTGAACATCAGGGTTCGAATTGTGCTTATTGAAACATATGATGACATTTTATGGGATCTTATTTGTGCAGAAATTACTCAAAGTTCTTCCGGTCTTATTAGACTGTCAATTAAGTTATCACTTTGGCCAAAAATTATGACAAAGTCCTATGAAGGTTTTAAAAACGTTTTTATTAAATCTTTAAATGAACAGAAAGCACAATTTCTGCATATAAACAGAGTTTGCAACTTGCAGATGTTTAAATAATATTAACGTTATACGTTGTAGGTAATGTAGTCGGAGATTACAAAATTTATCTTTTTAAGCTTTCTCAGTGTTTAATGCCGAGTTTTAAATGTCGGTTAGCAGAATAGCTAAAGCCGGGATATTCACTGAGAGAGCTGGGCGATAGAACATAAACTGTATGGAAGCTACCAAAACCTTTAATATGTAAAGAAATAAAAATCCTGTCTTAAATACTCTGTAGAGATATTAGGTATTTTTTGACAGGAGGGATGAGAAAAATCAGCAATGCCATCGCCCAGAACTCAAACCATTTACTCTCAATTACGCGCTGAGCTAGCTGACCATTACACCACTAAGGCACGCTAAGAAAGCGGGAGAGTTACCTTATATACCACCCATTTAAAAAGCGACTGGGGATTAGAAGAGCCAATCGCCGGATCCTGGTGGTGGAGAATCATCCTCCACCACCTTTTTCAGTTCGGGCGCCACTGTAGTGACATTAGGTATTTTTTGAAAGGAGCGGGTGTGAGAAATGAGCAATGCCATCGCCGGGAACTCGAACCGCGGACCTCTCAATTACGCGCTGAGCATGCTGACCATTACACCACGATGGCACGCTAAGAAAGCGGGAGAAATATCTTATAAGTCTATCATCTAATTTGCATCCTTGTTAGGACTAAGGTAAGGAAGAAGTTATAGTAAAAGTTAAAATGATTATAGTTGATTCATTAACATAAAGTACTCCACAGTTTTTCCGCAAATGTTTTAATAGGTTCATTTTAGATATAAGTGGAATTTGTGAAATGGCACGGACATGATATAACCTAATATAAATACTGAAACATTAAAAGATTCTTTCTATGTTATGATATACATGTCAAAATATGTAAGGAGACACTATAGTTAGAGTATTAACATAACGTATGCATAGATCTATGAAGAAATAGTTTGTTTTAATATTTACACCAAACATGGAAATTATTTTCACTGCAGAAATGTAAACAAATGTAAACACGCAAGGGAAACGAAGGTACAAATTATTTACTATTACAGTAACTGGCTCGCTATATTGCTCGCTCAGGTTCAGCGACTAAGCTCATAAAATGCAAGGCGACGCTAACCGTCTTTGCGTCTGGAGCTGGTCTCTCTAGTAAATTGTTTATCGCTGTAAAAGCTATCTCTTGTGGTTCCCGCGTATATTTTATCGTGTTTATTGCAATACCATAAACGTTGAATAGCACCATGGGACCAATACAAAACGCCACTAGAACACTTGAAGTGTTCCCAAGAAGAAATAAGTCATCACTTTACAATAAAAAGTCGAATTGGTTGATAATGCACCAAAGACTGAAGTTTGAAGTTGCGGTCTGGGCTTCATTTCAAGATAAGAAGATGAATAAATCCGGAACGAATCGGTATAAGA